ATGTATTTTCCAGGCACATAGTTCAATTTTATACAACAATCAAGCTGTTTCCGTTGCAAATGTGGACAAAACTTTGTCGATATTCCATGAATGTCGAAAAAACACAGTTTTGCAATTGCGATGTTTCCATTAAGTAAGAAATGCTATTAAAGTCACGCGTGAATACGCTCGTTCTCGCAATAAGTCATTACAAACATGGTGGCAGTGGATATAAACACATGCATATTGCAACCATGGCACTAGAGCTCATCAACAGCCATCAGAGGAGATGTCAGCATATTATCGAGGCTTTCCAGTGACAAGCCCCTTTTACTTGGGAGCGGCTACGTATGCTGCGATTTTGGGGAATTGTCTGTGAGTTTATTACTTTCTTTTACAACTTCGGTGATTTTACTACTACTTCTACTTCCTGTTGTCTTCTTCGTTGTCTTTTTTGCCAGTAGAAACATCCGGTTGTTGATCACGTGACTCCCGTGATGCGAAAAAAGTGTTTCCATTGCAGTTTTGTGAAATACACCAATTTCAATACAGCCGAAAAACCAACTCATCCTAGCGCAAAACCATTTCGTCGAAAAACATAAGTTTTTTCAAAATTGATGTGTTTCCAATGAGCAAATTTATTTTTGAAATTCTATTTTGCGCATTTTCATGGTCAATAGAAACACAGCTATGTTACCTTCAGCTGTGTAGGCACACATCAAAAACATATTTAAATACCTTGAAATTGGCCCCCGTCTCTTTAAGAACCTCCGACGGTTTCGGACACTCCCACTTCAGCACATCTTCACAACTGCTTCATGGGAGGGGTGCTCTGTAAGGTGAGAGCTCTGCTGCAGACTGAGTTCCAGGGAGGGGCTAGGTACATATAGGCGGTGCTTTGTACCAGCAAGCATTTAGGCAGCTCCACATGGCTACCACAGGAGAGTCAAGGATTTATCAAACATGAAGGAATGAATCAAAGCAACACTTTGGGTATGCTTTTGATGAGAAAATGATATAACTTTGTACAAAGCTCAAAAAAGTTGATTTTGCATAGTACCCCCTCCCCCCCAAGTAGCACATGTTAAATGTCATCTGATTATCACTTCCTTCCTTTTCTCCTAAAATTACATGTTAAAGACTTCCCGAAGATCTGCCCAATGGCATTTTGGTGGTCAGAGAACTTCATTGTAGCACTAATTGCAGCTGTATGTTTTGTTTTGATCTGCTTACAATGTGTTGAAACTACTTTAGGGTTATTAATCTGAGTCCACTTAATGATCTTACATCATGCAGAGATGCTGTAGGAAAAAAAAATGAAACAAGTGCCTCTTAAACATTATTGTGCACACTTGCTTTTGTTTTTGTTAAGATGTCTAATTTATTGCCCTGTTACTCTGACATGTGTGCGTGCCTCATGAGCAAATAATAAGTAAGAAAGAATCTCACTTTCTTTGTAAATTTCATCAGCTGCAAGATAATCCCAAAAATATTTTATTTGAAGCATACTTAGGCTTTAACACTATACTAGCCATAGTTGTATTATTAATCAAGGCCAATATTTAGCCTAAAAATGATATTTAATGCAGTGTTTTAGTATTTAAATGATATAAACATTCTGAAAACCATTTGAGAAATGTTGTTTTATTATTTTTCACCAGCAAAAAAAGGGAAGGTAAAATTTAAATAACTGCAGAAAATGAAATGAAGTTTACTCATTGTGAAACAGCAATCTGCACAACAGAATTTAAATAAACACACTGCAGACGTTTCATTTGACATCTTTATACAGTATTATCTGATGTTTTGGATTCCTCCTAAACCAGGGGTTCCTAAACTTTTTCCACAAGAGGGCCAAAATGAAAATCTATCCAAAGCTGCGAGCCAAAGGTAATAACATAATACATGAAATGGAAATACTTCTTAAGTGGTCTTTTTAATTTTTTTATGATATAGGAGCCAGTGCAGTGGGCCATGTTTTGTCTGTTCTTTTAGCCCGTGCACTTGGAGAATGCTTGACATTTGCTTGGCCAGCAAAAACTCATGGGACATTTCATAAATTGATAAAATCTGAGTATTTGTGATTTTAGAATATGTTCAAATCTACATGTGCTGAAATATAACAACAGGAGATTACAACCAGGAAAACTATTAGTGGACCAAATCAAATGGGTTAGTGTGCCAATTTTGGCCCGCTGGCCCCACTTTGGTCACCTCTGTCCTAAACGTCGATTTTCTCTGTGTCAATATTGACAGTTAGCCCGATTGTGTCTACGTTGGATTCAGGTCGCACCTTTTACTTATAAAAATGTGCCTCTTTAGAAAAGTTGAGATGTATTGCAGAATCAAATAACGAGAAAGAGGAAACCAGGCATCCTTCCCTGCACAGCAATGGGTTGGGAGGTTAAAAAACATCCAGCTCTTTCAGAGGAGCTGGGACTGCATCCTTACTGTAAAGCACAGCTTGCAGGCGCAGGAAGAAAACGTCCTGCTCATTTCACAACTCACTGGGGGTCAAGGTTAAAGTAGATGTTTGAGTCTTATTCAGAAACCATCTTTTTCATGTGAAAAGTTGTTAAAAACTCTTTTAGAACTGGGTCAAAGTATCATTTCTTTAACACTTATTGGAAGTTTTCACACATTTAAAGTAAAGTCATTAAAACAAAAAGAACGTGTGAAGGATTTGTCAACCTGCAGACGTTCTCTTTGTTGTCACGGTTTGGGTCATAGGAGATCAAGTGCAAACGAGTCTGACACTGAGGGAGGGTACATAAGCAAGATAAATAAATAATTTAAAATCCCTCTAATGATTAAATAAGGTCTGGCACTGGCCTATCACCATGACGACAGTCATCAGGAGCAGTTGCTTACTTGTGAAGGGACATTCTGTGACTTGATGTGTAAATGACAACATCTTTGGCAATGAGTTTTGGGTTTTGTTTTTGCTACATCAATAAAGCTGTTTGTTGTTTTTGCACACTGACACTGAGGTTGATCTTTCGTTGGTAATGTTCTAAAAAATCATTCTTTGTGTTTCGTGTGATTTGATTACATTCTGCAAAATGTAATTATGTATGCGTACAAAGAAATGCAGCTTTATGACAGTAGAAAACAAAACAAATGCATAAATCTGAATTAGATAGTTTACTGTCCAGCAATAAGGCTGTGCCTTTTTTGAGTAAAAGGCACAAAAACAATAAAAACCTTGGTTTCTGAAATTTCTACTGAAAGGATTTTGGCTGTGTGCAATAAGACCTGCAAGAATATGTGTATGCAGGCAGCAGATAATTAAGATGCCAACACCTGAGTAACAACATGGTCTGATGACCTTATTTTCAGGATCAACCTATGATATTTGAACCATTCAGAAACATTTGTATTAGTCAAAAAAAAAAAATTAAATCTGCAACCTCTGCTGCAGGCTGCAGCACAAAGCAGGAGGAAACCGGGGGGAAGGGCGCTGAATTTATTTCTAGTGGCAAAACGTTTGGGGCAATGTTTGGGTTACTTAATTTTATTTATTTTTTTTTTTTTAGCACCTTACAAGCTCGGGGAGAAGAGATCACTCTAAACGTCTGTATATCTGCCAAATGAGGAAAAATCTGTGTAAATTACAGACAATCATGTGAGCAGTCATCAGCACCCGTCCTCCTTCAGACGCACGACGGAGCGCGTGCCTGAGCCGGCCAGTCACTTTTGGTGACATTGATCAGCTGACTGATTTAAATACACCTTAACTTTCATGAGGTACTTTGCATTGACTGTTTATGGTTGAATGCGGGCGTGTAGAGCAGTGGTTCCCAAACTTTTTATCTTATGACCCAAAAAATATTCATGGCAAAAACTTGTGACCCCAAATATTACTGGTCTGAGTACACGAACTTCGTTAATAACCATAAAAACACAGGCTTTTTGACAACCTAAACAGCTTGTACACAAATACAAATACTTATTTATAATTTTTTGTGTGTTTTTGTAATAGTTATAGGGAAAATATTACATTAGCAATTATTTTATTACCCTTTAAATTGATTTCTGGAGATTATCCAAGGTGCTTCATGACCCATAATTGGGTCCCAAGCCCAACTTTGGGAACCAAAGTTCAGTGGTTCCCAAACTTTTCAGCTTTTGACCCACAAAATAGTAGCAGAGACCTGTGCCCCCAACTATTTTTGGATGATAAACATTTGTATCAGGTTAACTAAACATGGACATTGTAACAATATTTATACTACATGAATCCATTTTAAATACACTAACCTCACTCCTTTGTAACAACTAAGGCAAAAATGTAATTAATTCGGAAAATCTTTTCAGGACCCCACCTTGAGGTTTCAGGACCCCAATTTGGGTCCCAACCCCAACTTTGGGAAACCCTAGTGTAGAGGGTAGAACCTGAGGCGGGACCTTGTGCACAAACTCTGTGGTGCAGCTGCGATCTATAAAGGGAAATTGCTTGAAGGTGTGCGTGTGCACGGTTTTATAAATTAGACTTTTTTTTGGCATATCCTGTTTTCACCTGTTTCACCGTACGGTCACTTTTAGCATGAATTCTTTGCAATCCTTTATAAATGAAGCCCCAGATCTCTGCATACAAGGACTATGGCCCCACAGGTTCCTCTACAGGAAGTCCAGCAAAGCACTTGCCACTAACCCTTTCCCCACATTTTTTAGTAATGAAGGATGCAACTCCTTCGGGAGTTTCACAGATCAACAACTTAAGTGTTGTGTTACTTGTAATTCAAAGACGCTCCAGCCTGTGCAAAGCAAAAACACATTCTCTGTTAATAAATACTTTAACAGCCACTCTAAATTCAAAGCTCTGAAGCCCACTGAGGTTGTAAACTCCTGACTTTCTGGTCATCCAGAGAGAAAGCTCAAACTGAGTCTGCTTCAGGCACCAAATACTCTTCATTCATACGAAGCATCATAAATCAAACATAATATAGAGTACAAAAAAAATTACAAAACTTTAAAATGCCCCTGTGCCTGCAAAATGTCGAACAATTAATAACACTCACATGTTACGTGCGTTTGGTCAGATCGACTGGCCCAGGAGGGCTGAAGCAAGCAGGTGGTGGGTTTGTGTGGGGAGGTCACTGTCTGGCTGTAACACTGCAGGAGGCGAAGCACTGTGGAAAGCAGGAAGCAAAAAAATGTATGCATGTTCAGACATCTCAAGGAGAGAAGTGATGTAAGGTAGACATCAGTTGCCTCCCCGCCAAGACCCGGGCCCTGACAGCCACCACCAGCAGGCCCAGTGGCTCGAGGAGGAGCGGGTGTGCAGCCAACCACAGCCAGCGAGAGGCGGAGAGAGAGCTGCACTCCCTCACCTCCTGCCAACTGTACCAAGACATCAGGAACAGATTCAGCACATAAACCACACAAACACACTCACAGACACACTCACATTTTATAGACAGGGACAATACCCACAAACTCTCATATCTGCTGGAAGAAATCAACTAACACAGCAGCTTATTTTCTGAGCCACAAAACAACTTCAAACTTGAAACAAATGCCATCATAAAATTTGACACCCTGTAATAAATTGAAACATCCACCGTGACTTTCGCTTTTGTTCTGTCTTTTTGCACGTTATTTTTGAACAGGCATTGGCAACGTAAACACTTGTTTCTCATGCCATTACAGCTCTGTTTGAATACGATTTAACTAAAAACATCACAAACATATTATTTTAAATAATCTGTAATGGGTTCAGTGAAACACTAACACCACTTTTGACTTCCATTGATTCTGTTACATTGCTGAATGATACCAGAAATATCTCATAAAATCCCACAAATATTTTTTTCTTCTTTTTTTATCTTTTTGTCTCAGAGGAGCACTGTATAGATTCTGAACACTGCCACTCTTAGAAAAAGTAATTGAAACTGTAAGGGAGAATGTACATCACCTGCTGCCTTTCAATTATCACAGTTTTGAACTAAGGTTCTTATTATAAGATGAGGTATGACAAAGTTTCAGCCCTTTTTGTTACACCTTCAAAATCAGAGTATGCTGCCAGACAAATTTTGATCCTAATATCTATAAAAGTTTTGAGTTTTTGCCATTTTTTGCGTAGCTCGAAACCCGTGATGTATCTACGTTGCAATTACGCTGCAACTGGATGCCTACACCAACTCTGCGTGGCTTGTTTTAGTAAAAGCTGCATCTTTTAAGGAGTCAATAAACATTTATAATTAGTTTTTGGCTCCCCCACCACCACCCTGCACTGTGAACCGTGCGACAGCACCATTTGTAATTGACGCAGGATGAGAAATGAGGAGGAGATGAAACATGAAACCCAAAATTGCTGCTGTTCCTTTTGTCTCCTCAGACACTCTCGTGTGTAAATGCACATCAAACACTGCTTCTCACAACATTCCTTTCATTCCCTGCATCGGCTCCTCCCAACTCGAACTATTCTGTCTTTTGTAACATGACAGTATGGAAAGGAGGGCGACACCCGAGCAAGCCTTGAGCATGTCTGCCTTTCTGTACGGAGAATGCTGCATCCTTTACATTCAACATACAAGTGCCCCTAATTGTCATGAAACAAGCGTGGGTCTTAGCTTATGAGATATGTATTTTGCTAAAACTATAAAACTATAAACAAACAGCAAACACACACAGAGACAGATATATGGAAAAATAGTTTGCCCCCTTCCTTTGTGGGCAATAATACAGTAGCAGGAAATTCAGTCTAATGTGGTAAAAGTGTGGCCCATTGTGACTAAGTGCTGACAAATGGGGTTGGAAGTCTAAACACAGTGAGGTTGTAAGCTGTTATGAGAGGTGTGAGGAAACAAAAGCAATCACGACGGACGTTAATAAGAAATGGCAGCAAGAACAGAATAAATCCAAAACTGGTGCGCCCTTGTGAGCGTTCAATATTGGCCACAGAAAGGAAACAAAAATAAAAGCATACAGTATGTTTGCAGCACCGAGCGTTAAAACTGTGTTTTTTACTAAAGCTCTAGGATGTAATTTGCATCAACAACCACTTAAATTTTTTGTGCTTTTTTTCCTCATCCCGTTTCACCAGTTTTTGACTTTTTCATGCGCTCCAACCAGCAGTTTCACGTCGTCTAATTGCTTTATATTCCAACATATAATTCACAACCCATTTTAGAATCCACCAGTATGACACTCTGGTTCTGACAGGTTGGGTGATGGCGTGGCCTTTTCGCAGTCATTTTCCTGCTATCACAGGAAATCAGCAACCTCGCTGTCACCGCCGTACCTGACCCACAGTCCAACATATCATCACACGCTCACAGTTCATTTTTTTTACACATTCTGTGAAATGTAACTGCGGACAGAAAAAAAAGCATTGATCAATTAGCTCCTCTGAACACAGAACCTCTGCAGCACTCTCTCAAAAGGAATACTTCAATTTTGAAGCCTCACTCAAAAACATGTTTTGTTATTATCTTAGATTGCAGGGTTTCTTTTTCTGAGGCCGGAATGCAATAAAAGTTTTCCTCTCTTTCAGAAAGCAACCAGATTTTAGTTTCACTTCCTCCAGTAGTGCATCTCTTCTCCAACCCCAATTTCTAAAATACCTGCTTGTTCCTTTGCTTTTAGTGAGAGGGTTTTGAAAGTTGGACAACTGACCCAACCAAAGCTTGCTTGTAGTTTGCATTTTTAGGCAACATTCTAGCAAAAAAGCATAGATCTTAAGAGGGAATGGATGGATTTTAATATTAATAAAGCTGGTTGGACAAACAGTATTGGAAGCTATTTTATTTCATTTGTTAAAAAAATATTGCCATAACAGTCTCATTTGCAACTAAAGTGTGAATTTGTTTGATTTTTTTATTCATTAAAAGTTTAATTTTGTATTCAAAAGAAGCACTTAAAGTGTGTAAGTCAGTAAACTTTCGATCTATTGCACCTTCAGAGTGCTTCACAAAGATCAAATAACTAAAATCAATAAAAGCAGAGAACAAGAACAATTTAAAGGAAAAGAAAAGAAAACTTAACTAAAAGCAAGTCTGAATAAAATTTTATTTAGATGTTTCTTAAATGAGTCAGTGGAGTCTGTTAAAGTTCTTTTTTTAAATTTTGTTAAAGTTCTTTAACTTGAGCTGTTTCACATGCATCTAACAGCACATTTAATTTACTACTTTTGTTTTTCTTGATAAAAAAGAACATTTAAACATTTTTAGTACACATTAAAAACTATTTTAGAATTAAAGGCGAGCCATTTTTTCTGCCGTCTTGTTTGTCAGAATTTTAGACCCAGATCAACTCTGAAAAAATGTCATGTAATGTCACGGGTTATTCATAAATTCATCCTCAGAGTATGTGATGCAAATGACTCTCCACTACTACCATATCACATCTTACCTCATAACCTGTTAAAGTGACTGAGCTGAAACCATTCTTGTGTTCGTCAATATTTTGGAGACTCAACATAAGACATTTTCCTCAGGAACCATTTTAAACTGCACAACTCCACTATAATATTGTTATTAAAATCAATTTCATGTATAATTTGACACTTCAGCAGCTCTGCGGTGCAATAAAATAAACAAACTTTCTTTGTGTTATTCTTCCTCTTAGATTGCTTCTGTATCAACGCTCCCCTTTTTCTCATTTCTCCAAAATTACACTCGGTGTAACATTGGTCGAAAATGAAATAAAATCTCAAACGCAACCTTAAAACAAATGTATAATAACCTGTTCTCTTATGTGTACAACATGGAATGGTAATTCTTCTATAATTGAATTGTCAGGAAGCATACTTCAGTGGCTCCTGTTCGGACCGGTGCACACTGTTTTATTGATATTGGCAGAAAGCAGTTGTTTCATTTTGGTGAGGAAAATTTGTTTTGTATGCTTATCATCAGGGACATGTTATCAGTGGTTCAGATAAGCAACAAACATTTAGCTTCTTCTCTGATTAATGTCAGAGTTATGTTACTGTTGTAGCCAGAAGTTTGGTAAAGACATTTTGCTATGACTGATTTGTAGCGTATTATATGTACACAAAAAAAACAGACCTTATAAACTCAGTCAGAATGCTTGACTTAGTTTATGAGATCTTTTTTGTCACTATTTAATCATGATAGATGTCCCATTGGTTGTGCCTGAAGCTTTGCAGGTTTTAGATTGCAATCTGAAACAATGGGGCTTTTATTCTGTTGTTCCTATCTTTTCAGTAGTGCAATTTTTTTTTACCAGGCACATTATTGCTCTCTTTATGCCATACGTCCCTCATGACACTAAGTCGAAAATAACGAAGCCCTTGGATGCCCACCTCCTCCACACACAGACACACACATGTTCCTCAGCAGCCACTTATTTGCCTTTTTTCTTCAAGAAATGGAAAAGAAAACCAATTAATTTTGACTCATATTTTACAGACTTTCACATTCTTGATCTGTGTCCAATTGATGGAATGAGCCCGTTCCAGGCTGACCATGAGATGCAGTGTTTGCCATCTTCTCTCTCATGAATGTGCTCTTTAAAACCACAGATGCTCTTTGCTCTCCAAATGGTTTCTGCATTGTAAACAAACATTACACTAGCTACAGTGAGAAGCAAAATGCTGCGTCTGTCATCATGACATAAAAGCCAAGTAATTTGATTTAAATAAAGACAGTGTAAAAATAATGTTTGTTGGTCCCACTTAGCTCCTAACTTTGGATTTTAGGCCAGTTTTCTTTCTTGAAGTGTGGCAGAGTTGAAATGCTTCACATTTATGTTGTCCTAATGCTTTTCATGAGTATTATATAAGTGAGAAACAGACAAATCTCAGCTTGTAGCTTGAATTTTGAGCAAGCACAATGTGAACTGTTGCTGTTAGTGAATCACAATGTCCAGAGGGAATGCTGGGATATTAAACCCCTTTGTGCACATTGTTAAACCCACACAAGTTCATTAAAAAAAGTGGTGCAGACTACCTTTAGGGGTTGAGAGTGTGGGATGCAGCTCAGCTCTTTGAATAGTCGGATCTGGGGCATGTGGACTGTTGATGGCTGCCTGTTCTGCAACAGGCATCCATGAGACCGTGCCTCAGAAATGGAACTGTTTCAGTGCAACCAGTTATTTTTCTTTTTGTCTTTCTGTAACACTAGCTTAGTCTCTCTTTCTGTCTGTCTTTTTTCCCCTCTTCTTACAG